TCCAAGTGTGCCAGGAAACACCAGCTTTGGGGGTTTGGACAGATTTGGGGGTGTCTGATGTTCAGACAAGCTCAGGGAAAAGAGGGAAAATCCAAGTGTGCCAGGAAACACCAGCTTTGGGGGTTTGGAGAGATCCTGGGGGGTGTCTGATGTTCAGACAAGCTCAGCTGTGCCCACTTTGGTATCCAAGTGTGCCAGGAAACACCAGTTTTGGGGGTTTGGACAGATTTGGGGGTGTCTGATGTCCAGACAAGCTCAGCTGTGCCCAGAGCCAGCCAGGGAAAAGAAGGAAAACCAAAGTGTGCCAGGAAACACCAGCTTTGTTTGGGGGTTTGGGCAGATCCTGGGGGGTGTCTGATGTTCAGACAAGCTCAGGGAAAAGAGGGAAAATCCAAGTGTGCCAGGAAACACCAGCTTTGGGGGTTTGCACAGATCCTGGGGGGTGTCTGATGTTCAGACAAGCTCAGGGAAAAGAGGGAAAATCCAAGTGTGCCAGGAAACACCAGCTTTGTTTGGGGGTTTGGGCAGATTTGGGGGGTGTCTGATGTCCAGACAAGCTCAGCTGTGCCCACTTTGGTATCAGAGTGTGCCAGGAAACACCAGCTTTGGGGGTTTGGAGAGATTTGGGGGTGTCTGATGTCCAGGCAAGCTCAGAGAAAAGAGGGAAAATCCAAGTGTGCCAGGAAACACCAGCTTTGTTTGGGGGTTTGGGCAGATTTGGGGGGTGTCTGATGCTCAGACAAGCTCAGCTGTGCCCCCCCTGCCCACTGTGGTGCCCCTCTCTTGGCAGTGAGCATCCTGGGCCCCCTCACCACCCCGGAGCAGAAGCTCTCCAAGACTCCCTCCTCCAGCTCCCTGTCCCAGAGGGTCCGTTCCACCTTCAGCAAAACCACCCCCAGGTGAGTTTTTGGGCACCTTGGAGCCACTTCAGGGGGGTCAAGGGGCACCAAAACCACTCCCAGGGGAGTTTGGTCACCTTGGAGCCACTTCAGGGGGGTCAAAGAGCACCAGAACCACCCCCAGGTGAGTTTTTGGGCACCTTGGAACCACTTCAGGGGGGTCAAGGGGCACCAGAACCACTCCCAGGTGAGTTTGGGCACCTTGGAGCCACTTCAGGGGGTCAAAGAGCACCAAAACCACTCCCAGGTGAGTTTGTGCACCTTGGAACCACTTCAAAGAGCACCAAAACCACCCCCAGGTGAGTTTGGGCACCTTGGAGCCACTTCAGGGGGGTCAAGGGGCACCAAAACCACCCCCAGGTGAGTTTTTGGGCACCTTGGAGCCACTTCAGGGGGGTCAAAGAGCACCAAAACCACCCCCAGGTGAGTTTGGGCACCTTGGAACCACTTCAGAGGGGTCAAGGGGCACCAAAACCACTCCCAGGTGAGTTTTTGGGCACCTTGGAGCCACTTCAGGGGGGTCAAGGGGCACCAAAACCACTCCCAGGTGAGTTTTTGGGCACCTTGGAGCCACTTCAGGAGGGTCAAGGGGCACCAGAACCACTCCCAGGTGAGTTTTGTCACCTTGGAGCCACTTCAGGGGGTCAAAGAGCACCAGAACCACTCCCAGGTGAGTTTTGGTCACCTTGGAGCCACTTCAGGGGGGTCACAGAGCCCCAAAAATCGACCTGTGGGCCCATTTGTGGCAGCAGAAATCCCCCCTGGAGCAATAATTGTGTTTTATGACCACAATAAACCCTGGATGAACATTCCCTGGAAAGGCAGAGGGGGGGGATCTCCCTCCCAACCCCCAATCTGACTTCATTTTTTCATTTCTCTCGCCTCAGGTTTGGCAGCAAAAGCAAATCCACCCTCCAGCTGGGCCCCCAGGGCAACTTCTTTGCCTCTCCCCTGCTGAAGTGAAGCCCTGGGATGGAGCTGGTCCCCTCCTGGCATTTTGCACTCCAACAAATCCAACAAATCCAACCAATAATCCAACCAGAAGTGCAGGTTCTCTCCGCGGGCTCCCCCCCCCTTTGATGTCCTGAGATGTTTTTTGCCCTTTTATCTTTTCAGCTTCGCTGAGAGCCCCTTTTTAATGGGATTTTCTTGTGCAATTGTGGTTTTTAATTAATGCTGTGCTGGCTGTGGAGTCAACACAACGAGCAGGGTTTGATCATTAAAGCTCTGGAGGAACCGGTGACATTGTCACTCCCCCCTGCTTTCCTTCTCCGGGTGTTTTTAGGGACTCTGGAGGGGGTTGTTGGCGCTGCCTGGGCTCTGCCACAATTCCAGGCTTTCCATCGGCAATTCCCGGTGGTGCCGCCGGAATCCTGAGGGTGGCACTGCGGGATTGCTCGGGATGAACCTCCCGGGGGGCTCGGGGGGCTCCAGAGGAACCTTCCCTTCTCCCTTCCCTTCTCCCTTCCCTTCTCCCTTCCCTTCTCCCTTCCCTTCTCCCTTCCCTTCTCCCTTCCCTTCTCCCTTCCCTCGTCCGCGTTTCCCTTCTCCCTTCCCTTCTCTCCCTTCCTTCTCTCCTGCCCTTCCTCCCTTCCCTCTCCCGTCCCTCTCCCTTCCCGTCCCTTCCCTTCTCACCTTCCCTTCTTTTCTCCCTTCCCGTCTCCCTTCCCGTTCTCCCTTCCCTTCTCCCTTCGCCTTCCCCTGCCCGTCTCCCCTTCCTTCTCCCTTCCCTTCTCCCTTCCCTTCTCCCTTCCCTTCTCCCTTCCCTTCTCCCTTCCCTTCTCCCTTCTCTTTCTTCTCCCTTCTCTCTCTTCTCCCTTCTCCCTTCTCTCTCTTCTCTCTCTCTTCTCTCTCTTCTCTCTCTCTTCTCTCTCTTCTCTCTCTTCTCTCTCTCTTCTCTCTCTCTTCTCTCTCTCTTCTCTCTCTCTTCTCTCTTTTCTCTCTCTTTTCTCTCTCTTTTCTCTCTCTTTTCTCTCTTTTCTCTCTCTTTTCTCTCTCTTCTCTCTCTTCTCTCTCTCTTCTCTCTCTTTTCTCTCTCTTTTCTCTCTCTTCTCTCTCTCTTCTCTCTCTCTTCTCTCTCTTCTCTCTCTCTTCTCTCTCTCTTCTCTCTCTCTTCTCTCTCTCTTCTCTCTCTTTTCTCTCTCTTTTCTCTCTCTTCTCTCTCTCTTCTCTCTCTCTTCTCTCTCTTTTCTCTCTCTTTTCTCTCTCTTTTCTCTCTCTTCTCTCTCTTTTCTCTCTCTTTTCTCTCTCTTTTCTCTCTCTTTTCTCTCTCTTTTCTCTCCCTTTTCTCTCC